ACAGGAGGATTCTACAAGTACTGCTTGACTTGTTCAAAAACAAACTGAGTGATCATCCCATTAGAATTTCTTTCCTTTCTTTAGGAGACCAAATAGTGGTTCATAAGTCAAGGTTAGTTTTAAAATAAACCGCCTTATGAATTGCCCTTCACCTAGAAAGTCGCGTACCTCCTTTTCAGTCCTCGGTGGTGGGATTTCTAAGATGGCCATGATTTTGAAAGGATCTACCTCAATTCTTCTCTGTGTGATCAGGAATCCCAGTATTTTTTCTATTGTTACGCCGAAGGTGCATTTTTGTGGGTTCAACCTCAATCTATACTCTCTTATCCATTGAAAGAATTTCTCCAGTGCGGTGTAGTGGCCCTCTCGATCTTTGGACTTCACAATCATATTGTCTACATACACCTCAACCTCTTTGTGGATCATGCCATGCAAAATGGTGGTTGTAGCCCTTTGATAAGTGGCCCCAGCATTCTTCAACCCAAACGGCATAACTCGATAGCAATAGGTGCCCCACGGAGTAGTGAAAGCGGTCTTTTCCCTATCCTCGGGTGCCATCAGAATCTGGTTATACCCAGAAAACCCATCCATGAATGACAACAGCACGTGGCCAGTGGTGAAGTCTACCAACTCGTCAATATGCGACAATGGAAAATCATCCTTTGGACTAGCCTTATTCAAATCCCTGAAGTTGACATAGACCCTGATTCTGCCATCCTTTTTCAGAACTAGAACAATATTGGCCAACCATGTTGGATACTCAGATACAAGCAAGAACCCTGCCTCAATCTGTTTGGTAACTTCTTCCTTGATCTTCAAAGCCTAATCTGGGCGGACTTTGCGCAGCTTCTACTTAACTGGTCGGGCCTCGGGATTAAGAGGGATCTGGTGCTGTACAATCTCAGGATCGATTCCAAGTATGTCTTCGTAGGACCACGCAAAAACATCTTTGAAATCTTTCAATAAAACGACTAAACGCTCGCGTTCCTTCGAAGACAACGTGGACCCAATCTAGACCAAGCAAGGATCTTCCTCCGCATCCATGTTAATTGATATGATTTTATCAATATAGGGCTTAACATGCCTCTTCTTTTCATGATCAACCAACTTTTTCAAAACCCGAGTGCAGACACCTTATTTTTTACCGTCCTCAAGACTTGGAAGTCATCGCTTGTGCACTCGATGATTATGATTGCATGTGCTCGTTTTAGTGCCCGAAGTCCTCGGCGGAATGCCCTTTCTTTGAGCCTTCAAACCTTATCCATTTTGTGCCCTGTTTTGGACCAAAACCTTCAAGCCTGCAAGCCCTGGTGGCCAAACGGCCACTGTTTGAGGCTGCCAGCCACCAATTGTGCCCTGCCGGCCACCCTTGTGCCTTGCCGGCCAATGGTGTGGCCTGTCGGCCACCAGTGTCTTTTTTCAGATATTTTGGTGACATTTGTTCTAACTGTTACCACAATTAGCTCCATCTCCCTACACATGTAGAGAGGGATTTCTCTCAGCCAAATGCATGTTTTTCTATATATATGGGGTCTCCTCCCCCATTTTTGAGGGTTAGAAAATTTGGAACAAAAATCTCTCTCTCTCTCTCTCTCTCTCTTGCAAATTTGTGCGTTTTAGTCTATACACACTACACTTTTTCCTACACCTCCTTAACCAAAGTTGATTATCTTTGAGCTGAGGTTCCTTGAAGCCTTCTTGGAGCTTTTGAAATTGGTTTTGGCTTGAATTAGTGCCTAAAGTTGATCTTTTCTTCAAGAGGTATACTACTTCCCTTTTAAGCTTACTTTGTAGACTTGTTTTTCTATCTATTCCCACTGTTTTGGGGTTATTTTCAGCAGTAAAAAACTCTGTTTTGTGGGTTGAAATTGGTGTTTTAGGCCATGGTTGGGGGGGTATCTCACCCTTCTTTATTCCTTGCTTGTAAGGCTTTTTCACCTTTGTTTCCCACCTTCAAACTATCTTTTCTTGGGCTTTTGAGCACTGAATTTCAGAGTATTTTTAGTGGTAAAAATTATGTTTTGAAATCTAAAATTGGAGGGGTCAGCCTCCCCTCCTTGTGTCTTATTTGCTAGTCTTGTTAGCTCTATGTGTTAGCTTAATTTTCTAGCCTTTTATAGCTTAATTCCAGCAAGTTTTAGGTTTTATTTTAGATTGTTTTAACTTTTTTTTTGGCTAGTTGTTGCATTTGAGTCTTGTTTTACATGCCTCTAGTGTAATAGTCCCCACAAGCTTGATGTTTTAGGCCTTTAGACACCCCTTGTTTGAGTTGATTGCATTGTTTTAGTGTTTTTCTCACTTAATTTTAGCAATTATAATCTCTAGAACTTCCCTCATTTCTTCACTCTTTGTTTGCTTTGAGGGTTGTTTCAACCTTAGGATAGTTTAAGCTTGAGATTGAGGTTCATTGCTTAATGGTTTAATCCTCTTTTGGAGGTTCATTACCAATGGCATGACATCTCTCTCTTGCCTTAAATTACCCTTTGTTTGACACTTCCTTCTCTTTAGAGGACTTCTCACCAATGGACTTAATTGGTTAAGGAGTGGTTGGTAATCTAAAATGAGTAACTAAAAAGTTGGAAATTAAAATTGTGTAAGACAAGAATTTGGTTGTGTTTTGATGTGTTCAATTGGACGTTAGTTGAACACAAGAAAAATTAGGGCATTTCATACTCAAAGTAATGAAATGTGCCAAGTTTCCCAGGTCACCATTGCCCTTGATCATGCATGATAGAGTGGAGGTTTTTAGTTTGTTTGTGCATTTATTAAACTTGTATATCTTGATTCCTTAGCCATCATGCAATGAAATTGCTTGATTGATGGTTTGAGGACAAAGTATATCACTAATTTGAGATGTTTTGATGATAAGGAGGGATACACAGTACAAACAACCTGTGAGAATACCCTCTCTTTGCCCTGTTTTCTCTTTGTTACAGCAAAAAAAGATGTGTCATCAGTGGCCGGCCGGCCATCACTGTTGGACGGCAACCCCTTAATGGTGGCCGGCCAGCCACCATTTATGGCCTGCCAACCACCAATGAATTTCGAGCATTGTGCTTGTGAAGAATGGCAGAGTTGATCTGGAGAAGGAAAAAGTGTAAGAGTGGTCCAATAGAGGCATACAGCAGCTGACAGTGAATGTTCTTTGGGTGGAAACGAGCATGCATGAGCCTTTCTCGCTCCTCGGGACTAGTTAATTAGTTTAATTTACATTTAAGTTAGAAATATAAAAAGTCTCGCAATAAAATTTTGCTTGTCGGTCCTGTAAACAGTTTATTGACTTATTTCTATCACATCACTTCTCTACTTTTTTTGTAGGCCTATTTTGGGAAGTAGGTAAAACACTAACCTTTTGATTTTTGTTGTCTTTTTTCATTTTATTTTTTTTAAAAAGCCAATATATAAGGCCTATAACACCTATTTATAAACTAATAAGCCAATAAGCTGACTTTTTTCCTAGTTGCCAAAATAGGCGTAAGTCACACCCAAACGATCCTAAAATTACCATTCACCCAATTTTTAAAAATAAAATTTTCTTCAACTTATCTAAGTAATTTTTGTTCTATAAATAAAGGGACATTCTAATATACACCCCTTTAAAAAGGGTGTACCATATGCACCCCTATTATACCATTTTCTTCTTTAGTTATAACTAATTTTTTTTCTTTAGTTATGCTTTATATGTGTTTAGTTATGACATTTTTTATTTTTGTTAGTTATGACTTAGAAAATTAAAATTATGATATTTTTCTTTAGGGTGAAGTACTAATAAATCCCAAATAGTAATTTTATAAACTGTTTAGTCCTCCATTTTTCTTATGGACCTAAAGGTCTTATTTTAGTGCGAATTATATAAAGGACCAAGCATAAACGCGCGTGTGCTATTTGTTGAGGGACAAATGTGAATTTTCTCATAATGGTGAAATTACTAAACGTAACATTTAAAAAAAACTCCTTAGTTTATTTTTCCCAAACGTAACATTCTAATATAACACTCAAAAAACATAACACTCCAATGTAACATACTAAAAAACTCTTTAGTGTACTTTTCTCAAATGTAACAATGTAACATTCCAAAACAACTGCTTAGCGTATTTTTCCCAAACATAACACTCCAATCAATGTAACACAAAAACTCTTTAGTGTACTTATCCCAAATGTAGCACTTCAATGTAACACTCTAATGTAACACCAAAAAATCACACTAACAAAAAAATGTAGGTTTTTATGCTGGGTAAATTACAAATACACCCCCTGAGGTTTACTTAAAGTACAGATTGCCCTTGTGGTTTGGAAAATTACAAATACCTCCTTGCACTACTAAAAAAAATACTTTTTGCGACCGCCATAAACCGTCGCAAATAATAAAAAACAGTCGCAAAAGACTTTTTGCGACAGCCCATGCGACGGCAAATGGGGGTCGCGAATATGGGGGTGGCAAATACTTTTTGCGACGGCAAAGCAACGGTCGCAAATTATTTGCGACCACCTAAACTACTTATGGCGACCCCTATTTTGCCGTCGCAAAAAACAAAGAAAATACTAACATGATCTTTGGCGACCATTTTGTTACCGTCGCAAAAAATTAAAAATAAAAATAAATAAATAAATAGTGAAACATTAAAGCCCTTTTACCTATCCAGCTGTTTATCAAACAAATTAGACAAATCAAACCCACAGCTAACCTCTAGATATTCTTCCTATTTTCTTCAAATATTAAAGCTTGAACAAAATAAAAACAAAAAATGTCACAATTAAACAATTACTTTTAATATGTGAAACTTTTTTTCATCATATTCCAGTTGGGGTAATATCTGTCAAAACACTTCCAGTATACAATACTACTAATAGAACTTATAAAAGGCATGTCAATGAAGCACAAGCATTTCAAAGCCCAAATGATGAACTAAAGGTTTAAGATCTAACACGAGGCCTTTAAAGGACTGGGAACATCATTGTGAGAAGACATAAAAATGCAATCAAGTAAAGACAACCAAACATGCAGAACTAAGCTTCTTATGGAGCTCATCCAATTCCGATTGATAGCATGAGAAACCACATGTGTTAACAGCATTAAAATCCACAAGCAAAAATAAAGGTGAATAACCAGTAGCAACAATAATTCTTTGTTCTCACATGATAAAAAAATCTTATTCCAATCTCTAATCAGAGTAAGAGGGGAAGGGGAATGGAGGCAGGATAAGACAAATCATTGCTTACTTCTAATATCCATACTACCCTTGTTTTTTACCGGTCATACCTGCAACCACCTGCAAAGATGCAATCCGAATAATCAAATTAGTTAAAATTACCCGTGCACAAAATTCTTCCATCAGGTACATATATATTTGAAGTAGTACATAAAATGCCCGTAACGTAAAAAATCACTTTCGAAATGTTGAAATGCATAAAAAAAAAACCTTAGGGGTAAAGTACATGGTTTTTATAGGGGAAGAATCCTAGTAATTTTTCTAGGCAAGACATCAAAAAGGAGCCCAAAACTCCAGTTATCAAGGTCTAGAGAAAGCAGCTGGGAAGCACTAGGGTCTACAAAAGGCAGCTATTGGAAGATGCCTAGTGATTACAATAACATCCTAATCTCATCATACCAGTCATAATGAACCAAGAAAGAAAACCTAAAGACAAGCCAGTACATGTTAAACGTAACATAACATCCTAATCTCATCATACCAGTCATAATGAACCAAGAAAGAAAACCTAAAGACAAGCTAGTACATGTTAAACGTAAAGGTATAAATTAATACAGAGTTATATGATACATTGAAAAGAAAGACTTGTACATTTTCTGGACTAGTGACAACATGTCTCATTTATGATTTCTTATTAAAGGCCAACTGACAATAGGATACTGCAACCAAGGTAAAAGAATATACCAGCATATAATGGATTAAAAAAAAAAAATTAAGCACAAGACTTACTGTTTTACGAACTCCAGCAGGTGACTCTCCAAAAATGTCATCACAAAACATATCATTTGACCTCTCACTCTGCAAAATCAAACAGAAACCGAAATCATGTACCTATATAGAACAAGCACTTAAAAGTAAAAAATATTCAATATCAAGACTACAAAATATGGGAATCAAGTATTGATTGAAGGGCAGTGCAGTCCATAAAAGAAAATCAAAGATAGGTTTTCTTAGATTTGTTTTAGCGTTACTATCTGCTGACGCTTTCATGCAACAATGTAATCAGGATGCTGTGTCAATTGCACGAACAGAAGAAGAACCTGAGGCTGCAGCTCAGATGTTAACGGAGGCTGCTTTCTCACGTGGCAGCGCTGACAATATCACCTGTATTGTCGTAAAGTTTCACCATGAAAAAGCAGATCCAACTCCATTCCAACCCTCCCAGTCCCGAAGCCAGCCCTCCCAATTTCCATCCCCATCTCCGTGTCAGCCCCAGACCTCGACCTCCCAGTCCCAGCCCCACCAGCCCGAGCCTGAGCCCGAGCCCCAGCCCCAGCACCAGCACCAGCACCAGCACCAGACTCTGACCTCCCAGTCCCAGCCTGAGACAGAGACCTCCCAGTCCCAGCCCCAGCCCCTGCACCAGCACCAGACCCTAACCTCCCAGTCCCAGCCCGAGATGGAGACCTCCCAGTCCCAGTCCCAGCCCCAGCCCCAGAAACAGAACCAGCCTCATCATGATTAGAGAGAATTCAGTTAAACATTGCACAAGGAATAACAAAAGCAGTTTGGTAGTGCAAAGCTTGAGATCTTGACATGCAATGGCTCAGACTGCAAGAGGGAATTTGTTTATTCATTGGTTTGTTTCTAGTTTTGCATTTTTGTTTTTGCTTTGTTGTTTTTATTGAGTGAACATGGGACCTGTAACTTTGTTTATTCCAGCACATGTTTATATATATAGTTCTGCGCTCTTCATTGCAGTAGAGGTGTTATATCTGGGTAATCTAATTGGTAGTTCAATAAAAACTGATGCTTCTACTTTTTCTATATGGGTTTTATAATGTTCTAGAAATATACACCTTAGTTTCTAATTTTAGGTATGTAGGAATGGGCATGTCATGTTATTAGCTATGTATGTCAGTTATACCTGGATCATTTTCATGAGTTTTTAAGTCTTTTAATTATCTGAAGTTTTTGTCTATTTATGTTGCAGCAGCTACACAATCTGATGCAATGTATAAGACCTGAAAAGGAAAATCTCAATAAATAGATATGATGATAGTGATGCTATATAGTTTTTCAGATTAATTTTCAACGCATAAGAAAGCTATTTTTATTTTCTTATTTTTTTAAAATTTAATTTTATTTATTTTTTATATACCAAAAGAGAATTGGCAGCATTTTCCTTCTTTTTTTGTTTTGTTTTTTTGGTTTCATTGCTTTTATAGTGCAGGTGTTAACAGCTATACTTTCATTCAGGATTACGATAGTGAGGAGAAGTTCTCTATTCCTGATGACCGAATTAGCCACTTGCTGCCAACATCTTATCAAGATATGATAGTGAGGGTGTACTCCAAAAAGCCAAACCTGGTAGCAAAAATTATGGTTGTGTGGTTTATTCGTGTTGTCTCTGAATTAATTTTATCCTCAATAACAGAATTACTCAAAACAACATGCAGGTAGGAGTGATTTCTGAGGCATTCGAAAATTTTCAGTTAAAGACATATGGATCAAAGCACAGGTACATGCAACACCAGAGAAGAAAAAGCGCCGCATATGAGATAATCATTATTGGCATTGCCTTTCACCTATTCATTCTTTTTTACCTAGAAAACAAACAAATTTCCAGTTCCAAACAATCTGAGTATTGCAATACAGGCCATACGTCATACACCACGCATAGATGCATGTGATTTTTGCTATTCTGTCTGGTCTCTTTAAAATTCAAATTGGATTATTAAGGGGGGCTGCTTTTGTTTTGTAAAACCAGATTGTAAACTCAATCTCTATTCTTTAGAGAGAATTTTTTTCTTTCGAAATTAATCACATTGAACTTTTAAAAATAAATGTGTTGATATTTGTGGAACGTCACATCTCTAAAATATCTTTCAAGTTATGAAGCTGATGAATTCTGTGTCTCTTGTAGTTTTGATGTGTTTCATGGTATAACCAACCGGTTAATCTCTCTGTGTGTCTTAATTGCTAAAGCTTAGTGACATACTATATAAAATATTTAACAGTAATGTTGGCTTAACAAAAATGTAAATATTAAATATGACTTGGATATCGTCCATTCAAGGGCAGAGTTAAGTTGAATGTTAGTTTTGGTTTTGGGAACCAAACTACAAAATGAGAGCTCTACTAGGTTTATTGGACTAGCGTTCAAAGTGAAAACTACTTCGATTCTAGTGAGCAGACGACCTGCTGTTGAGAAAAGGCAAAGAAAGAAAAACTAGGTATGAATTGTGGAGTTCGGACATATCCAGAGGGAAAAGGAACATACTTTCAATTGCAAGGTAGTGATTTCCCTCTCAATTGCATTGGCCATTTCAAAGAACAGAGATCCGTATGCAAGTCCACAACGATGTCTCCTACGCTCGTAACTATTAGAACCGACATTGTAATTGAATAAAAAACAACCACCTCAGTGCAGCAAACCACATCATCTAAAACTCTTCCAAAACATCGACTTTAACAAGTAGACTCAGAAAGCCAATATATTCTAAACCTTCTCATATTATTATCACATACTGGCTGTCCTGTGTTTTATAAAATGCGAGAAAATTAAAATTTGAACCTCACGAAAAATACTTGGCTTCAGTGGATGTGAAGAAGAGATCGTTTTCCAACATTTTCTCGGCAACCAAACACAATAATATCACAAGAAAGCTAAATAATGTAAAGAAAAAGAACGAAAGAGACGCACCTGAAGCTGTGAATCCCTCACATTTTTTGCAAACTTCGAAGCTTGTGATCCAAAGGAGAGCTTCGACCAGTGATCAGAGGATTTGCCAAAACAAAGAGAACGAATACCTACACAGAGAGAGAGAGAGAGAGAGAGAGAGTAAATTGAAAACCTAGATTTCCTAAGTCAGATAGAGAGAGAAGCAGGGGTGATAGATTAAATTAACTGATTCGATTCAATTCATTTAGTGATATCATTAAACAGAACATAGAGTGATGATTACCAGACGAAGCAAAGGAGCTTCGGTATCCGCAATGCGAGTTAAGGCTATGTCAGAGCTAAATAGATCCGACTCGGCTTGAAATCGGAGAGCAATGTCGGAAATTAGAGAGTTTCAAATTGCTAGAATGAGCAGAAATTTCGACGGATTTGAAGGCGACGAAGACTGATCCGACAGCGAAATAAGCAGCCGTGGAAGCTCCGGCGATTGAAGAAAGAGAGAGAGATGATGAAGAAGAAGATCGCTACAATGTGTTGTGGTTGATTAATTTGCTTTGGAAGCTCCGAAGAGTGTGAGAATGGCGATGCATATGAAGAGCTTCGACTGTGGCCAGTCAGATTCGAGCGAGAGAGGGTGGAGAGTCCAAAGAGAGTCGAGCGAGAGACATTTTGAGAGAGAGAGAGTTCATACAGAGAGATTTGGGAAATAAGTGAAAAAGGGGAGATAGTTTTTTAACAACGCGGGTCTTTTTTTTTTTGAGTGTAAAAAGTGATTTTTTGCGACCACTAAACCATCCGTCGCAAAAAAATAAACGCAAAAACTCATAATTGTAGTAGTGTTGTTAGTATTTTTATTTAACAGAATTAACTAAAAAAATGAAATTCATAATTTCTCTCCTATACAATAATAAAATTACCTAAATAATTAATTAAAACATATTTCTAACATCATTAAAAACTGACTTGATGATTTATCAATAAAAAGGGCGATTTGTTATGAATTAGAAACCTCAGGGGGTGGAATGTAATTTCCAAAACCACAAGGAGCGATTCGTATTTTAATCAAACCTCAGGGGATATATTTGTATTTTACCCTTTTATGTTCGACAACCAACACTTCAACCATCAATCCCTCCAAAAAGAATTTTTCACACCTTACATTTCCATTCTCATTCCAAAAACAAATAAGAAAACAAAAAAAAACAAATCACGAAAGGGCATTCACTTAAACTCAAATAGTACCAAATCAAATAAATACAACTTTCTAAAATACAAGGACTAATTGGTTCATATAAAAACTTTTAGGATTAAATGGATCAACATTCCCCTATATAGGATTTATGAGTAAATTTTTCTTTTCTTTATAGTTATAAGGTGCATATAATGAACACCCTTTAATGTTTCCCATAAATAAAACTTACACCAAATAATCTAAGGGGTATTTAATCTAACATCCCTCTCCAATTTTAGTAATGGGACAGGTCAAAAATATATATATATATATATTATAGCCTAAGGTCTCCACACCCACATATCACACTCACTCTCTCATTCTCTCTTCCTCTCTCGATCTAGGGTTTTAATCCTTTCTACAATAATCATTTCTCTCTCCTCTTTTACCATCACTGTCATCGAACATCTAGAAGTCCTTAGAGCCTACTCAATATGTTTACATGTTAGGCAATTCTAGTTTAAGCCTGTTAGATCATGATCGGTCTCCGACGAATCAATACCGCTAACCACACCATCGTGTGGAAATCATGTGATTGGAGAAACACTTCGGCAGAGAGATGATCTGTTCATAATAATCTGAACCTCTTCATGATAGAGAAACAGTCCACCAGAGAGATAAAATTAACGTAAGCGTAACCGAGAGAGGCTCGTATGGCTTGATCCCTACAAACCCAAACAGAGCAATTTCAATCAATGTATGGAAAACAAAGATAAGAAATGAATTTTTCGAGGAAGATTATGTGAATGAGGGTTGCTTAGTATATTCGGTTTGTAATTTTCTTTGGTTGAGTCAAAAGACAATTTTCTCTGGTTTGGTCAAAACATAAAGAAAACTGTGAGTGAACCAGAGAAAATTGGTTAAAACACAGAGAAAATTGTGAGTAAATCAGAGAATTTTCAAACCAGATAAATTTTAAAACACAGATAAATTTTGAAAACACAGAGAAAAATCTGAGAAATTTCAAACCAGATAAATTTCAAAACACAGAGAATTTTGTTTGAAATTTCTATGTGTTTTAAAATTTTGAAATTTCTTTGAAAAAATGTTAAGGGACTTCAACTACTATAAAAATATTACACATTCATTATCCTATAAATATCTTACAAAATCTTAATAATAGATACCTTAAAAAAAATTTCTCCATAAGACCATCTCCAATGGTTCATCAGTTCTATCATCAAATTTAATTTTAATGAAAAAATCACCTTTTTCATACTCTAATGGTTTCATCAAATAAGTATCAAATCGAGGATATCTAAAAACTTTCACCAAATTGAGAACACTTGGACCTTTCATCAAATCATTGTTCATAATCGTTAGATTTTTCACCACCGAATGTCCCCTAGATGACCACCTGTTTGTGTCCATTTTTGTCGAGAGGTAGACCAGTTGGGATACAACATGTGGCAAAATCAAGTGAGGGTTCAACAGTTGTGAAAGAGGGTAAGCGATATGAGAAAGATTGATAAATATGCATTAAACAGTTTTGGTGATGGAGTAGTTACTGGTAGTGATCATGAACTCAGTGGGTAGTCCTTCAAGAGGAAGCATGAACAAACTGGAAGTTTTTCTCTGTTGAAAGAAGGTTAGAAGGGCTTATAGGCATGTAATAACTTGAAGAATGGTAGTTCAGCAGATTGAAGCAAAGGTCTAAGGTGATTGGAAGGCATAGAAACCAGGAAGCAGTTACACAGCAGCAGTTGCAGATTAAGGAGATCATGGAAACGTGGGAAAGGAGAAGTATAAAGGTCAGAAATTTGCACGAAGAGAGGACATCATCAACAACACAAAGAACTAGTTTAGACTTAGCATAATCTAGGAGTATTAGTTTAGGAGTAGTTTCTTCTATAATTCATATCTGTGTAAACTTTTATGAACTTTAGTAGTTTCATCTTAGAATTACTTGTTATTTGCTTCATTTACTTTGTAACTTTCAATTGTTCCAACGAAGTCCTCATTCTTTTGAGGCATTTGAACCAATTGCATAATTGTTTGATTGTTTAGTTAAAATTGTTGTTAATTCCTGTCGATTGGAAGTTAGCATAATTTTTACTAACAATTTTTGGCATACCCAATGGGATTATCTTGCATAATTTGGATCAAAAAATGGTGAAGGAAAAGAAACAGGTTCATAAGCATGTTGAGAAGAGGCCTGCTGAGTTGAAGAAGAAAAGGTAAACCAGGACTTGGCCTTGGCTGATGATGGTGATGTTCAGCATGTGGGCCAGGCAATGGTCCAAAAAGGCCAGATGAGTGGCCAAGCAGGGAGTACAAAAGGCCAGGCAAATAACCATGCCTGAATTCCTACAGGCGTCCTGGTGGCTCAAATAAGGGATGCAATGCCAAACCAATCACTGGAGGAGAACCAGATCCTTCTGGGAGAAGTGAGAAGTGTGTTAAAAGCTCCATCGATGGAGTGTACAAGTTAGAGTAGAGTAAAGGCAAAAAGGTGTCTTCAAAGGTAGGGGTGCACACATGTTACCACCAACTGGTATGCTATATCAGTCTGCTGGTGAGCCAATGTCCTTTTACAAGGACCCAACTGCTGAAGAAAGAATGCATGAGGTATTCCAAACCCCAAATGTTAAAATTCAAGGAAACTAGCCTGGGGGCAACCTGGGTCAAATGTTTTTCTTAACCCACTATATGGCCAAAAAGAGGTAGAAAACAGAAAATTGTTTAACACAAAATTTAATAGTTATCCTAATATGAGGCCAAGAACTAATGTGGTTTTTGAAAATTAAAATCAAAGGCTTGAAAATGTTAGGTATAAAGAAGTTCCTAATGCAGGTTATGGAAATCATGGAATCAATAATTTTGGGAATATGGATGCATATCCTGAAGTGCATAGGCCTAACATGTACCATGAACCATTTGGTAATGGCCCAAGGCCAAGTGGTCCAGCACCCCCTTTACATGTCGACAGACATGAGCCTTATGAAAATAACTATGGGTATGGCGGCAAAATGCTTTTAACCATGTTGATCAAAGAGACCAGGTTATCCAAATTGTTCAAGACCTTTATGGTCCATGGATGAGAAGGCCTGAAATGCCTAGATTTAGGAAGCCATACCCATAGTGGGTAGATAAGGAACCTTTTCCTAGAAATTATAGAGTGCCTGAGTTTTCCTTATTTTATGGTGAGAAAAATCAATCAACAATTGAACACATAGGGAGATTTATTTTACAATGTGGAGAAGTAGGAAATAATGACATACTTAAAATGAGGTTGTTTCCACATTTCTTGTCTAGAACTGCTTTTACATAGTTTATTAACTTGACTGCTAATTTAATCCATACTTGGGTAGAGATGGAAAACTAGTTTCATGCCCAGTTCTATAGGATTGAGCCTGAGGTAACCTTGGTAGATCTGTCTAAAATGAGGCAGAAATTTTCTGCGAGTACAGAGCAGTTCATTGATAGATTTAAAAAGGCAAAAAATAGGTGTCGAATATACATGCCTGAAGTTGAGATTGTGAGAATGGCCTAGAATGGGTTAGAGCTTGAATTGAGAAAAAAGTTTGAGGGGATGGAGTTTAGAGATTTGTTTGAGTTGTCATCTAGGGCAACAAGATATGAATCAATACTTAGAGAGGAAAAGCATAGGAATGCAAATTCTTATAGGACTTATTTCCAAGAGGTTGATGTAGAAGCAGAAGTTGATGTTGATGTGGCTCAAGTAGTTGGCAAAACATCAGTGCTTTGTGGGACTTTAAGGAAAGTGGACAAACCAGTGAACATGCCAGCAACTCAACCAGCCAAAAGAAATACAAACCCTACATTTAGGCAGTATTCTTTTGATTTGTCTAAATCTAATGCCATTTTTGTTGAGTTATTGGCTAATAAATTTTTAACTTTGTCCTCTGGACATGTAATTCCAAAAAAAAAGACAGAGTAGGAAAAGAATATTGTAAATGGCATAATACTTTTTGACATCCTACCAACAATTGTGTAACTTTTAGAAATTGTGTACAAGACTTGATACAGAGAGGACTGCTGAAATATGCAAAGTCGGAGAAAAGAGTTATAACAGTAGACAACAATCCCTTTCCAAAAATGGCACCAATCCATATGGTATCAGCTAATATTAAAAGGAAGGCACCAAACCCAATTGTTTTGTTGTCTGACTTGAAAAGGATTCACATGGAGAAGCAAGAAAAGGGAAAGAAAGTGATAGATGAGGACAAGTTTGTGTGCTCAAGATGTGGGACTTGAATGGAAAAATTGCAAGCAATTTTGCCTAACAAGTTGAAGGAGACTGTGAAGGATCATAGGCTAAGGTTTAATACCTTAGGTGGAGGTGACCTTCAGATTTTCAATGGAGACAAATTGTTGTTTGATGGGCAGGACCTTGGGATCTTTGGGCCTGTCGACAGGTCATATGGTAAGGAGGATGGTGCATTTTTTGTTCAGGTGGCAACCTGTGTATCCTTTCTTCATGGTGCAGAAAGGGTCAGAGTTAAAGTAAGGCAG